AGCACTTCTAGCCAATGTCCCCCTCCGACAAACGCGTCATGCCCATCCCACTGCTCTCCCTTCTCCCCCTCGCACTATTCCAACTCACTGTCTGCTCCTGCACGGTCGTCAACACATGCCCAGTCCCCAACAATGTTTCCACTTTCCTGTACCACCTGATACCCTCTAAACGTCCAAGCAACACACCTTGCCATTGAGCTGTGCCCAAGGGCGCCTCATGAACATCCAACCGAAATCCTTCTCACGCAACCACAACTCACCGCCTGCTCCTGCACGTTCGCTTGGCTTCCCCAGCACCAAATACTGTTCGCACATTCGTCCATACACTGTGATGCCCTCTGTGTTCAAGCAACACTTCTTGCCATGGTGCCCTGCTGGTAACGCGCCATTGTCATCCCACTGGCTTCGGCTTCGCCCGCGACCGATTCGCCCAACTAACGGTCTGCTCCTAGTCGTTTGAAAAACCATCACCACCCTTCCACTGTTCGCACGTTCGTCTACAGTTGCAGACACCCTCAAAGACAAAAGCAACACTGTCTCCCACTGGGTCGCGACAAAAAAAAACGCTTCATGAACATCTCATTGCTTTCCCCCTCGCGGAAGCCCAACTCACTGTCTGCTCCTGCACGTTCGCCTGTTCGCTCCACTGCCAAACACTGTTCGAATGTTTGTCCACTCTCTCTGACGCAGCCAATGCTAAGACAACACGCCGTGCTATGGCGTTATGGTGAGCAACGCGCCATGCCCATCTCGCTGCTTCCTGAATCGCACAAGCCCACTCACAGTCTGCTCCTGCAGGGGCGCCAGCACTCTCCACTACCAAACACTGCTCGCAGAGTCGTCCACACCCGCCGACGCCCTCAATGTTACAGCAATACTCCTTGCCAAGGTGCCACGCTGAAACACGCGTCATGCCCATCCCACTGTTTAGCTTCTCGCGCATGCCCAGCTCACGGTCTGTTCCTGCACGTTCGCCAGTTCTCTCCAGTACCAAACGCCCTTTGCAAATTCTTCCACACCCTCCAAGGCACTCAATGCGGAAACAACACTCCTTGCCAGGACACCACACCGAAAAACGCGTGATGCCGATCCCACCGCTTTCCCGCTTGGCGGCCCCGAACTCACAGTCTTCTCCTGCACGTTCTCCAGCTCCCCCCGGTGCCAAACCCTCATTGCACGTTCGTCCACATGGGCCAGCGCGCTCCATGCTAAAGCAGAGCTCCTTGCCAAGGCTTCCCCGAGCGGCTACTGCACCAAATGTTTCAACGACGACGGCTTTCCTCGCGCGCAAGCAAGCAACTCACGGTCTTTACCTGCGCGTTCGCCAGCTCTGTCCACTGCCGAACACTGTTCGCACATTCGTCCACTCCAGCCAACGCCCTCAGCACCCGTGCTAAAGCAACACTCCTGGCCAGGGTTCCTCCGAGCGGGAACTCGAGCACAGCGCTTAGGCGCAACCGATAAAGTAGTAGAAACGCGTAATGCAAAACCCAATGGTTCCCGCCTCACGCGCACCCAATTCACCGTCTCCGTCTGCAAGTTCGCCAGCTCTTTCCAGTATCAAACAACACAGGTGAGCAGCAGCATGCGCGTCTTAGCACCCGAAAAGCGAATACACTTCCAGCCGACTGCCTCCCATTTCTTCCCTGATCCTAACGATACAAATACATCCCCACCCTTCCTCCTCTCCCACATTCGTCAGCAGCCACCGACGCTATCAATCCTAATGCACTGTTCCTGGAAAACCTCCCTCCGAATTATTTTAACACGTATTTCCAACCTTACTTCCTGAAAAACCGGCAAAGTGGCCCTGTGTCAACTGCATGCGACCCACCTCGTCTAACATTCAAACACAATTAAATTCAATGCACAACAAGCAGTCAAGCATAACATTGTGGGCGCTCCATGTGCAGTCTATGCATAGTCTCCAATAAGGAACGTGTAATGTCAGGACACTCCCCTCTACTACCATCCAATAGCTTGCACTAGACACTATATTCTCGCAGGTCTATTCCATTCACCATCCTTTGGATACATCGACTGGATCCATCTCTGCCCGGTCTGAGTCGGCTAACGTTGCACTGAGTACCATACGCAGCTCATTCAAATCTTGCCGTAATCCAGCATGCAAAGAACAATCCGAAAGGCCCTCATGATCCGTTTACGTTGACGCCACTATCCTGTCGCCCCGTAGGCAGAATAACCAGCTGTAGTGTGCTACAATGGTGCGCCAGTTGCTGCCTTGCCTGCCTCGGAAGGCCAGCCTTGAGTGGATTGCGTACAGGCTGGTAGGGTTTAGCAGTGAGTCCAGAAAAAACAAACATCAATTGAGTGCTACTACGCTGCTGAATAACAACGCCGCGTCACTGCGTCGAGCGGTACGTCACATCCGCACCCTCCCCTACGTCCACAGCTTACCAAACGCAAACCCGACACGGAATAGACGCAAAGATCCCTGTACGTGTGGGCCTCTCGCCGCTTGCTGAGAGCCCTTAGTACAACGCATATCAACGAAAGGGTTCCCTCAACATAGCTACTCTCAGCCCGCATACCTTATCAGTATATCCGTAAACGCTGCGTTGCAGTATTGCACAAGTGATAAAAGTAAAGTACTGTAGAACTCACGATAGATTTCTTTCCTACCTCAATGAGTGCACCGGTCCGGTGCTACGTAACATCAGGTGCACCAACGGCCTACGGTGCAAACAACGAAATACCAAAAACGCGTTATGCCCATCCCAATGGATTTCCTCTCGAGCCCGCCCATTTCACGGCGTGCCCTTGCTCGCTCGCAAGCGCTCCCCAGTACGAAACAATTTGGTGAGCACAACAAAAGCATCTTCACACCGTGCGACTGAACACCCTCCAGGCCGACTGCTTCCCCTTTCTTCCCAAACCATAACGACAGAAACGCATCCCCACCCTTTCACTCTTCCCACATTTGTCAAACCCATACACGCAATCAATGCAAAAGACAACCCTCCTAACGTATTCAACCTACTTTCTGCAAAACGAGCATGGTGTCACTATGTCGACTGCATGGGACTCATCTTGTCTGACCTTCGTCCACAAATAAATGCGATTCACAACCAGCAGCCAAGCACAACATTATGGGTATGGGGGCTGCATAAACAGTTTCTGCACAGTCTCCAATAAGGCGAGTACAATGCCAACACACGCTCCCGCTAGTACCATCCAACAGCTGGCGCTATGCACGCCCTTCCCACTGACCTATGCATTTCTCCATTTTTCCGCTACAGTGACTGGATCCATCTATACCAGATATCTATCTGCCCACGCTTCACGCAGTACCCTACACAGCATATTTAAATCTTGGTGCATGCAGAGAACAAACAGAAAACTGCTTATCCATTCGGCACCTCAAGCTTTCAACGGTTCGGTGCGGTGGAACGGCAAGTCCACCAATGGCTTTTGGCACAACCGATAAAGTACCAGAAGCGCGTCATACCCGTCCCGCTGTTTTCTCCCTCACCCGCCACCACCTCACGGTGTACGGTGCCCTATGCACACCTGCATGGTTTGTCCAGTACCGCAGAACATAGATGAGCACAGCGAGGAACGTCTACACGTCGTAGGACCGAACATTCCACCAACCGACTGCCTCCCATTTCTCCCCTGGTCCTAACGATACAAATACATCCCCACCCTTCCACTCGTCGCACATACGTCAGCAGCCACCGACGCTATCAATCTTCATGCAATATCAGTTGCCAAGTCCCCTCGTAACTATTCAAACGCATTCAACCTACCTTCTGAAAAGCCGGCAAAGTGGCCCTGTGTCAACTGCGTGCGACCCACCTCGTCTGACCTTCAAACACAATTAAATTCAATGCACAACAAGCAGTCAAGCATAACATTGTGGGCGCTCCATGTGCAGTCTATGCATAGTCCCCAATATGGAGCGTATAATGTCAAGACACTCCCCTCTACTACCATCCAATAGCTTGCACTAGACACTATATTCTCGCAGGTCTATGCCATTCACCATCCTTTGGATACAAAGACTGGATCCATCTATGCCCGGTATGTGTTGGCTAACGTTGCACTGAGTACCATTCGCAGCTCATTCAAATCTTGCCTAAATCCAGCATGCAGAGGACTATCCGAAAGGTCCTCGTGAATCGTTTACCTCGAGACCACCGTGGACAGATATTGGT